ACCTCCCTGACCCACCCCTCTCCCTCACCCTGGCACCTCCCTGACCCCCTTTGTCCCCCCCAGGAGCCCACCACGGTTTATGTCGGTGTGATGATGCCCAGGCCCTGAGCCTCTGGGGGCAGTGGGCAGCTGCCCAGCCCGGCTCGTGGGCACCAAACCCCCACGTTTCCTGGTGGGATTGACCCGCTCATCCCTTGGGGAATCGACACAAACCCCCCCGGCGGGGGCAGAACGAGCGGCGACGGCGCCCGGAGAAGGGAGGGATGAGCGAGAGAGGAGCGCGGCGAGAAACCTCCTCTGGCTGTGGCTGGAGGCTCCTGGCTGGATCCTGGAGCGCTGGGAGAAGGGAGAGGGACTCTGGATGCGACCCCGCAGCCGGGAGTGAGACGGGGAGAGACTCGGCCCCTGGGAGGGGAAGGATCGGCAGCACCGGGAAGGGGCGGCTGGAGGAGTTTTGGACTCCAACCTCGCCCTTGCCCCGCGGGTTTCCACGCCAGGAACTCATCCCGTGGTCCTGCTTTCCTAAGGGACACGAGGGTTCAACGGGGGAAAAACGAGAAGCGGTTTTATTTTTGAGCTCTGCGACAGGTTACAAAAACTCGGGAGTTTTGCCCCCAAGGAGAGTTTTGCAGCCCCTGCAGGCTCAGCCTGGCTCTGCAGCTCGTGTCCCACCGAATTTTCCCGTCCCCGTTTTTCCCACCGATCTCTGTGGGAACAGCCGAGCTTTTCCAGATGGACTTAAAGCCGAATTTGTGGCTGGGAGGAGGAGGAGGCAGCCCCCTACCCCCTGCCCACAGCAACTCTTGGTTCCCTGTGGAAATATCCCGTGTGGGGATGTTGGAGGTGGCCTGGATGAGGGAGCAGGGCTGGAAAATCCGGCTGGACCCAGTCTGGGGTGTTTTATAATCCCAGCTGTGACAGCAGGTCTGATGTGTGGACCACGGCGAAGGGAATGGAAAATAAATTGGGAATAAAGCCCTTTGGAAGGGGTTGCTGCTGGAGACTGTCACGGGGCGGATCCACTGCTGAGGTGGAACAGGAACCAATGTTTTTGTACCTCCTCGACTTCCCTCTTCTGTGCCCACAGAAAAATAACTGAGCTGCCTCCCTGGAAACATCTGCAAACAACCACTTCTCCCAGCGTGGGGGCAGGTGCAGGGAAGGGCAGGGCAAACCCTCACCCCTGTGCCTCTAAGGTGGTGTAAAAGCCCCAAATTCTGTCAAGAGTGGAACCCTGGGGCTGCCCAGGGAGGTGGGGGAGTCCCCAGCCCTGGGGGTGTCCAGGGAAGGCCTGGATGTGACACTGAGTGCTCTGGGCTGGGGATGAGGTGGGGATGGGGCGCAGGGGGTACTGGATGGGCTGGGAGGGCTTTTCCAACCTCAGGGATTCTGGGATTCTTGGCTGGACAACCCCCCCGAGGCTCAGGGTGGAGCTCCTCGCTTGTCTCTGCAGTAGAACACCAAGAAAACTCCGGCGAGAGCCGCGGCTTCGGCCACGGCCACGGCCCCGACCCGGGCCAGGCTGCTGGAGGGGGGCCCTGGGGGGAGAAAAGGTCCAGTGAGAACATCCCCGACTAGATCTGCCCCTTATCTTTGAGTGCCCCTTACCTGTGCACAGATCCCTCCTCAGCCCTCTGGGTGCCCTTTACCTGCACAGGGGTCCCTCCCCTGCCCTTTGGGTGCCCCTTCCCTGTGCACAGGTCCCTCCCCTGCCCTTTGGGTGCCCCTTCCCTGTGCACAGGTCCCTCCCCTGCCCTTTGAGTGCCCCTTACCTGCTCACAGGTCCCTCCCCTGCCCTGTGGGTGCCCCTTACCTGCACACAGGTCCCTCCCCAGCCCTCTGGGTGCCCCTTACCTGCACACAGGTGCCCGGGCGAGACGGTGACGCTGCTGTTGCTGATGGGGTTTCGTGCCCGGCACGTGAGGGACACGGAGCCGTCCGGGGGTGACTCCTCCAGCAGCACCGTGGGCCCCTCTCCCCGGGGCTGCTCCCCCACGCTCCAGCCGTAGGAGACGCTGCCCAGGCCGGGGCCGGGCGCGGAGCAGCGCAGGGCGTAGCGGCAGCTCCCGCCCGAGCAGTTCTGGGCCTCGCAGCTCACCCGGGGCTCTGCCAGCTCCCCTGGGGGAAGGAGGGCAGGGGCTGTCAGGAAAC